CAATTGATATCTCTCCCTTACAGTCCCTCAGCCCTACCATGTCAGTCTTGCTGGGGACTTGGGGCCTGAGCCCCTGGAACCAGAGTGATCCTAGAGCCCTTGGGAACCAGGGCAAAGAGCAGTAGTGGCTAGAGGCCAGGACAGGACATTGTGATTTATCCACAGGCCTTCTGACAGCGGCCCGCCTGGCGAGCGCTCCCCCTGTCGTGGCCGGGTCTGCATCTCTGGTAAGAAGTACAGCTACCCCAGCTGCTGGTTCCCCTTTTCCAACCACACAACCTCCTACCCCATCTCAATTCATTCCTACTCCTCTGCCCCTTAGATCTCCGGATTCCACTCATGTGGAAGGACACGGAATATTTCAAAAACAAAGGTGGTGAGTTCCACACACCCTGGGACAAATTCAGGGCATGACCCAGAAGCGGGAGGCTCTTGTGGGACATGTTTTCATCAGTTTTGCTCTTTGTCCCCAGACTTGCACCGCTGGGCTGTGTTTCTGCTGCTCCAGCTAGGGGAACACATTCAAGACACAGAGATGATCCTAGTGGACAGGACCCTCACAGACATCTCCTTTCAGAACAATGTGCTCTTGTGAGTACCTCATCTGTGTGGCTCCCTCCTCTCCCAATTCTTGGATGAGAGGGAGGGGAGGTGGGTAGCTGGCCTTCCCTGTGGAGCCGTCCTGTACTTGTACCACACACACCCCCCACCATGTGTCCCTGGAATTCCCTCTGACCACCCTCCTCTCCCCCACCCACCAGCACTGAGGCAGGACCAGACTTTGAACTGCGGCTGGAGCTGTACGGAGCCTATGTGGAAGAAGAGGGGGCCCTGGCTGGTGCCCCCAAGAGGCTTGCCACCAAACTCAGCAGTTCCCTGGGTCGCTCCTCAGGGAGGCGGGTCCGGGCATCGCTGGACAGTGCTGGGAGTTCGGGAAGCAGTCCCATCTTGCTTCCCACCCCGGCTGTGGGGTAAGGCCTTGCACACCCCCACCATCCTCAGCTGCCTGTATCCTGCCCACGGTGACCTTTGAACTGTGTTGACATGCAGAACCCATTTTGTACTGCTGCCAGGATGTGCAGACAGACATAAATGAGCAGTGGCCACACAGCTGAGAGGCATAGCTGGGCCAAGCCAACCAAGACCAGCAGGAGGGCAGGGAGAGTTAGGCTCTGGGGTCTTTATAGCAGCAGCAAATATATCTTATATGGATAGAACAGAGCTCCCTAGTTGGGGCAGGATAGCCTGGTCCCTTGGTCCCTTGTGGGACTCTGAGGAGCAGTTTGGGAGCTTCTGAGGTAATAAACAGAGTACCGATGTTGGACACAGACATGGGTACAAATTTCAACTTCACCACTTACCAGATATAACTATGGGCAAGTTTCCTAACCTCTCTACTCCTCAAATTGCCTCATCTAGCTAAAGAATAACACCACCTCACCCAACTCAGGGCTGTGTCTCATCTCCAGCTCTTTCCTGCCAGTCATTCCACTCTGGATAGTGGGAGGCAAACGAGAGGGCTCAGTGAGAGCCCCACAAGCTCATCCTTCTAGAGCAGGGTTGATCAAGGCTGCGTGACGTCACTGCCCGGTTTCATGACAACCTCACAGGGCTGTTGTGGGAATCAGTGGAATAACATATGTAAAACACAGGTCCCAGCACTTAGCTGGAGCTCAGTGTTTGTTCCTAATCCCTGCTGGGGAGGCTAGTCAGTTTTCTGTGGGGTCACCTGAACAGTGGGGCAGACCTGCTCAGCCCTTCCAGTTCCTGCTGTCCAACATGCCCCTCACTCAGCTGATGCCCCCTCCTGTCTCTCCCTTAGTGGTCCTCGTTACCACCTCTTGGCTCACACCACACTCACCCTGGCAGCAGTGCAGGATGGGTTCCGCACACATGACCTCACCCTTGCCAGTCATGGTGAGTATGTGTGGGGGGGGGAGACACGCATGTGTAATGGTCAGAAGAGGGGCTATGGGGTGGTCCCTTTTTTGTTCCCCACCCTCACCCTGCACTTCCTCCTCCTCCAGAGGAGAACCCTACCTGGCTGCCCCTTTATGGTAGCGTGTGTTGCCGCCTGGCAGCTCAGCCTCTCTGCATGACTCAACCCACTGCAAGTGGTACCCTCAGGGTGCAGGTGAGGGGGCCCTGAGGAGTGGAAGGGAACTGGGAGACGGCAGACAGCTGGATCCCCTAGGAATAGAACCACTGAAAAACCAAAGTCTGGGTGGAACAAGGGGGTATGGCAAGATGATGGGAGGAACAGACAGGTGGGTGAGCAAAAGGGGCAGGTTTTTGATGGGAGGCCGAGATGAGGGGTGTTAGAGGGGTGTGACTCCCCCAGGAAACATTGAGTCATTTATGCAGCAAGCTGGGGAGACGCAGAACTGGGCACGAGTGCACGGAGTCCTGAAAGGCACAAACCTCTTCTGTTACCGGCGACCTGAGGACGCAGACACTGGGGAAGAGCCGCTGCTTACTATTGTTATCAACAAGGTGATAGGTCCCTTGGTGGTGAGACACCAGGTGCCTTGGCTTAGGAGCCTCTCCTTCAGGGCCCCAGGAGGGTGGGCGCAGACCTCAGAGAGAAGGAAGCTAGCCTCCTGTTCCTAACACCACCACACTCTGCCTGGGGGTCAGGGATGCTGAGGGAACCATGTTCTCCCCTAGCACAGTATCACTGGAAAAGGGCCATCCCATTTACCACCATCCTCAATTCCTGCCAACTCTCAGAGAGGATGCTCTTGCCAGTTGAAAATTTTTCATCCTTCTTCCCTTTTCCCCTCAGATTCCAACTCATATCTGCTTTACCACCTCCTGTTTTTCTCTCCTGACCCAGGTCCGATTGCCCTTCTCTGCTCCCCAGCCCTTTGGCTGGCTTTCCTGTCCACGCTTTTGGAAGTTCTGAGGGAACTCTGGCTTCAGTATTCTTGCCCACTTCTGTGCCTTCCCTGCCTTGCTCTTTCCCCATCTCCAATCTGCTCTTCCCTACCTGACTCAGGGCCATGTCTCATCCCCAGCCCTTTCCTGCCACTCCTTCCCAGTCAGTTGGAGGCAAATGAGAGGACTCAGCAAAAGCCACCTAAGCTCTTCCTTCTAAGGCAGGGTGATTAAGGCTGCCTGATGTCACTGCCCATTTCCAGAACCAAGATGGAGGTGGAAACACATCACTTCTTTCTCCCACAGGAGACTCGTGTTCGGGCAGGGGAGCTAGACCAGGTGCCAGGACGGCCCTTCACCCTAAGTGTCGGTAACTGGTATGGGGATGACGAGGTGACACACACCCTTCAGACAGAGAGTCGGGAAGCTCTGCAGACCTGGATGGAGGCCCTGTGGCAGCTTTTCTTTGATATGAGTGAGAGAGAAGGGAGCTGGGCTGAACCTCTGGGAGGGACTGGGGTTTGTCATTTTTACCAGAGGCCTTTATTTTAAGATGGTATGCAAGGGAATGCAGAAGGAGGGCGGCCTGGCCCCCTTCTCATCACTGTTCTTACTCCAGGCCAGTGGAAGCATTGCTGTGATGAAGTCATGAAAATTGAAACTCCTGCTCCCCGGAAACCACCCCAAGCACTGGCCAAGCAGGGTTCCTTATACCACGAGATGGGTGAGTGAGAAAAATGCACTCCAAGAATCTGATGGGAAGTGGGTTTGGGGGCTTTGAGGGAAGCCAGAGAATGGAAGTGGAGAGAAAACACACTTTGGGAGGCAGATCTCTGGGGACTCAGGTCTCACCCAGTCCTGTGTATTCTTTTCTCCTCTCCGACTCTTGGAACCACGTCCACCAAAGTTCAAAACAAAACCCCAAAGAGCCAGGTTCATTTCATGGATCTCTTTCCTAATTTCTTCTTTTCTGTTTCCCTTTCTGTATGTGGATTCCTGCCTCTTCCTCTCACCCCTCACTTGCCTGGCATCGCTTTCATTTTTCTCCTCTCAATTTCTTCACCCACTTCTGCTCCCTTCCCCATCCTCTTCCACCTTGCACCCTGTATCCCACACTTATCAGAGCCTATATTCCCAGGGGGCCCAGGTGAGGGGCTGCTCCTGCAGGATAATGCAATCTCAGCTGAGATCCGGGCTTTGCTTTCCTCCTATTACAATGACAGGTGATGGTCAGGGCTGGGTAAGCCTAGGGCCTGAGCTGACTAGCCCTCCCCCCCAACCCCTTCCTGGTCACAGCTATTGAGCCGCTGGATGACATCGCAGCGGTGACAGACATCCTGACACAGCGGGAGGGCTCAAGGCTGGAGATGCCCCCACCCTGGCTAGCAATGTTTACAGACCAGCCTGCCCTGCCTAACCCCTGCTCGCCTGCCTTAGTGGCCCCAGCCTCAGCCTGGACCCACCCCCTGCCCTGGGGGCGACCCAGAACCTTTTCCCTGGATGGTGTCCCCCCAGACCACTCCCCTGGGACTTCTTGCTTGGTTGCCCCTCTCCCCCCACAGCGATCCCCACGGTCCAGAGGTCTCTGCAGCAGAGGCCCACCCCGCACTTGGCTCCAGTCACCAGTGTGAGAAAGGTGCTGGCTACAGGATCTGGCCAGAAGAGAAAATGATCCATGTGCACCTAGGCTCTGGATATGACTGTCTGTAGCAAGCTGGCCAGGTTGGCCTCCTCTTCCTCTGCCGGACTGAGAGTAGGCTAAGAAGCAGGAGGACATCCCTCTTAAGTTATGGCTGCCATGGTACCGAGGACTCGTTCCCAGGAGTGTCTGGGATGCGGGAAACCCTTCCTGGGAGAAAACTGGAACCAACTCTGCCCTACCTCCCTGCACTAACCAGCTTTGAGGATGGCACTGAAGAGCTCTGGGAGGGAACGCACCTCCCTTGTGACTCCCACATCAACCATTAAAGTTATTTAACAGCAGCCTTCATCTGGTTCTTGAGGACAGGGTGCCTCTCTCCGTTTGGCCTAGACCTGCCCCACCTCATCCCTGGAGCTTAATTCACCCATGAATTATGACCAGTGTGAAGTAGGACTACAATACTGAGAAATCAGACAAGGGCTGGGTGGAGGGGGTACTTTATAAATACTGTAGGGAGAAAGGAAGGCCGCTCTTCTCTCACATGCTGCTGAATCTCAGGATCTCAGCAAGGTCATAGCCAGTCACAGCAAAGGAACTGCCTGAGAGGTCACAGAATCGAGCACCACACACCTGGGTGTCGGTTACACACTCACCATGACAGTGTTCCACCTGGGGGAGAAGAAAGCTGGTCAGAGCCTGATTTCCCATGCTTGGGCCCCCCATTCCACCCATCTCATCACACACACCTCAATGTAGCCATTCTCTGGATTTCTACTCAGCTTCCAGATGTGTACAAAGGTGTCCTCAGCTGCAGAGAGTAGCTATTAAGAAAAAGCAGAAAGAGTAGGAGTTGGAGGGCCCTGACAGGGGACAGGTACAGGCTGGAATGCCCAGTCCAGGTGCCCTGGGGAGGGGGCTACACTGAGTTGCAAAGACAAGCCTGTGGTGTTCTCTCAACATTCCAGCATCAGGAAAAAGGATATATAGGGACAGAGAAGGAGACTGACCTTGCCCACCTCAGGAGCTAGGTCCAGGGCGCAGATGGCCCGAGCATGGGCATTGATCTGGACGTGCAGAGTTCCCGTAGCAGCCTCATATAGATGCAGTTGCCCATTCCCGTAGCCTGCTGCTATGATCCCTTGCCACAGCTGCACGGAGGGGCATGGGACTCTGTAAAGATAACATCCAACTTGCATTTCCCCAGAACCAATCCCAGTGCCCATCCTGAAGCTACCTCCGAAAGGCCTCTACCCGCTTCTGCCCCACCTACCCGAATCCTGGAATGCGGGTCAATAATGTGAATTCTGGTCCTGACCGCCAGACACACAGCAAGCCTGAGTCATCTGCTGTCACCATGTCAGCCACACAATCCTGAGGGGAAAGGCAGGATCAGCTCTTCCCTTTCTCCCCTGCTGTGGTCCTGTGTACAGACAGGGCAGGAGGGAAAGGAAGGCAGTATTTGCATCTTTGCCTTTCTAGGAAAAGGGTAATAGATGGAGCCCTCACCAGCTGGACCCATCAGAAACCCTCCCCAGAGTTTCCCCAGGAAGCACGAACTGCTTTCCTTGCATTTTTTTCAGAATCCCACAACTTCCCTGCCCATCACTTTAGAAGGGGGTGTATGACTGTCCTCATTGGATGGATGATAAAACTGAGGCCACAGAGTCATGACTTCCTGGAGGTCTTGCATTGAGCCAGTCATAGGCATAATTAGACCCTGAGCCTCCCAACCATCAACACCAGCCAGCCAGTACAGCCCATGGGCCCAGTCCTATGCCAGGTACAATGGAGAATATGAATTATAAAATACATGTCCTGTTCTCAAGAGGTTTGCAAACCAATTGGGGAATCAAGAGTTGTCTTTGAGGACAGTGCCAATTAAGGGTTCAGCTAAGGGAAATCAGTGGGAGCTGGAATTGAGGGAAGGCTTCCTGGAGAGGATGGCACTGGGGCTGGGCCTGAATGGGTAGGACTTGTCCAAGTCCAAAGAAGGAAGCTGCACACATCAGAGCTGGAAAGCATCTTAGAAACCATTTGTTCCAACTCCTTAATTCACACCAGTATTGAAAAGTCTTGGTGAACTATAAAATGCCACATAAATGTAAAGGATATCCAGCCTCATCACTGGATCTGAGGTGGCTGAAGATTAGGAAAATGCATATTTACCCAAAGTCATCCAGCAGCTCAGTGTCCAAGTCAAGACTGGAACCCAGGTCCCCTGCCTCCCAGGGAAGGCTCCTAGGCTCACTGGGATGAATAGGGGAAGTCCACTCACCTGTCCCTGGGCAGGCTCGCTGGCAATGTCTGTGATTGGTGTCTGGTGCCCAGCTAGCTCCTTGCTCAGCACAATATTGGGACCCTTGGCTGGGATGTCAAACACCAGCACCCGTCCTGACCATGTTCCTGCAGCCAGAACCAATGTCCCAGTGATGGCTTCCTGACCCTCCTGGGTCTCCAGCCACCACATTCAGCACTCCTTCCATCCCAGAAACCTTAGTAATAAACCCATCTCTCACAGCTACAAGAGCCCTGTCCCTCCATCCACTACCCTCATCCTATCCCACCCTGTCCTTCTGAGCCCCTCCATGGTTTTTTGGAGCCTCTCAGGTTCCCCTCCACTTCCACCCTTTTCTCTAACCCTCCACAATTTCCTCAGGCCCTCAGCATCCTTCTGGCCAAAGCCCATGTGCCCCAGCACTTCTCAATGCCCTGCCCTTCGCCCCCTCACCTACACAGATGAAGTGGCCACTGGCAGCAATTCCTCGGGCAAACACAGCCTGTGCTGAGTATGAAAGGGGAAAAACTATCAGAAGGAGCACTTTCCCCAGTCCCAGCAAACACTCCCTATTCCTACCCCACTTGGTTCTGCAGGTACCTGGAGAGGCATCTCCAGAGTCCAGTGCATGACAAAAGACCATAAAGGAGCCATCAGACTCGTACATCTGGAAGACAGAGGCAAGGTTGGGGGAATAATCCAGCTGACCTCTGCTGAGTTCTGTGCTGAGTACTTCCCGTATTCATGTTAGCCTGAGCCTATTTAATCCTCAAAACAAGTCTGGGAGGTAGGCACTATTTTTATCTCCATTTTACAGAGGAGGACACTGAGCATCTAAGAAATGAACTGCCTGAAGACATACAGTGAGTAAACAGGCAGAAACTAGAGGTGGCCCTTGGGAAAAGATGGAAGGAATGGAGACAAGAAACAGTGTAACAGTGGGCTAAGCATGTGATAAGTTTGAAAATGTTTAGAGGCAAGTGGGGAAGGGTCTGGAGCCTGGAAAAGGAAGGCTCTGGAGGAGGAAGACAGGAGGGTTCTCTTCTTACCTGTATTCCTAGATTTGAGGTGAGGACCAGCAGTATTCGGAAAGGGAGGACACACCAGTGGACCTGGGGGAAGTGGATCAATTAGTGTACAAAGAAAATTAGGATGAGGAACATGAGGAGTCAGAAGAGGGGAAGGAAAGTCAGAGGTTAGAGTAGAGAGGTTGAAGAGAGAGGGCCGTGACCGGGACTAGGCTCAGCAACACCACTGCCAATTCCATGCCTCACCTGAGTGATAAGTGGGGGGCTCACTCTAGTGCTCTCCTTGGATTGGAGCTGGCGCTGGGCCAAAGGCACACCCTCGGGGTCAGCGCTGAGAAGCTGGGTGCTTGGTCCATGAACCACCCCGAAATGTGTGAGGCTGCGGGCCGGCAGCTGCAGCACGCTGAGGTTATTGCACAAGGCGGCGGCCGAGCCTCGAAGGGGGATGGAGCGCTCCCGGTGGAACATTCTGCGGGAGGGACATCCGGATCACGGGGCGCGTGGGAAACAGACGGCGACGGAGATTCCCGAGGATGGGGCTATCACGAGGCACTTAGGGAGACCCCTGAGGCTGGGTTACACGATGGGGTGCCTCGGGGACGGTGATGGGGGAGGGTCACGTGCGTGGGAAGGGTCGGGTGGCGCAGGAGAGGGAAGTCCCAGGGCTGAGTCATGAGTCAACGGGGAAATCCCAGAGGAGGGATGGCGATGGCTCAGGACCACTCGGTGGCCCCAAGCGCGCGAGCCAAGAAGGCGTGATGAGGCCCCCGTAGCCTTTTCTCCCCCGGCCTGGGTCAGAGGTCACCTTCAAAGGCCCAGCTGCGCTTGCCTGACCCCGGGTTCCTTCGGCCCCTCCGAATCCGCCGCCACCATAGAGACGACGCACGTACGCACGGCCGTAGGGCGGGGCGAACGACCGGAACGTGCAGCGGGCGGCGCGGTTGCCAGGCAACTGTGGGCGGGGCGAGCCACCCGAGCGCCCAGTGGTTGCACGGCTACCGTTAGGCTGCGGCGCGGCGGAGAGGCTGTCCGAATTACCCGTGTTTGCGGCGACAGCGGCGGCGATGGCGCACGAAGGCTCGGTGAGCTCAGCTCGGCTGGGGGTGCACCAGAGCCGAGGTCGGTGTCGGGAAGCGTGGGTCAGCTCTGCGCCGCCTGGCGCGGGACCTTGCTCCTGCGCACCCCGCGGCTGTCCTTGGTGACCAAGGAAGCCCCATCAGAAAACCCACACGTGCGCCATGCGCACTCACACGCTTTGTCACACTCGGGCCAGGAGGGAAAGGGTCAATAGGTGGTGCAGAGTGGATTTGGAAGTGGCTAATGCATGTAGTAATTCTTTTACACTATTTAAATGCATAAACCAGAAATGGACGGGTATTTGGGGAGAGGCGATGATAGGTGAATTATGTATTTCGAGAATTTCTGGAAGAAGAAATGTATTGAACAACTCAGGCTGCATTTGAAAGTCGAACTGCTTAAAAGCCAAGACATTTTAAAATAAAGAAAACAGAGAACCTTTGTGTAAAAATATCTCTGTCCCCTCTGATCAAGCCACATCCAGGTATGGTCACCATCGCGGGTGTCAGATGAGAGCCTGGGAGGGAAGTTCTAAAAACAAAAACAAAAACAAAACAAAAAACGTTCTTATCCCAATTTTGTCTTTTCTGCTCTGGCCAAACTTGGCCTGGACTGTGGGCCACTCCTGGTGCTTGCCACAGGGCTGTTATCCATGGTGAAGAGAGGAAATGAGGCTTAAGGGATTTTGAGTTCAGTGCAAAGTTTAGAAACTTTGATGGGTGAATTTCAGGGAACATCAGATATGAAGCAATAAGGTTGGGAGGGGGTCGGCTGCAGGCAAAGGTTTGGGGAGATTGCATTTGGAGGTAAATTTTGGAAGAAACCAGGTTGAGAGAGACTTGTGGAGAAGTGAGGAGCCTCCCAAGAGACTGTTCGTAAACATTTATGTCCATAAAGTGAGTTTTGGGGACTAAGCTTTTTAAGTGATTAGAGGAGAATACAAACTCATTGTAGGGAATTTATAGAGAAGTGCATAGGGAGGAAACATACCCTCTGTTACCATTTTGTTGTTTTCCTTTTATTCAGTACACCGTGGGGGATTATAATTGATATGTAAGTTTGTGTCCTGCTTCTTTCATTTAGCACTGTATCATAAGCGTTCGTTTTCTTATGCCATTGCACATTCTTCCTAAAGATTACTTTAATCATTGTGTTGTTTTTTTTTTTTTTTTGAGTTGGAGTCTCACTCTGTCGCCCAGACTGGAGTGCAGTGGCCGCTCCCGGCCACCGCAGCCTCCACCTGCTGGGCTCCGGCAATCCTTCTGCCTCAGCCTTACAAGTAGCCGGAATTACAGGTGCAAGCTACCACGCCCGGCTAATTTTTTGATTTATTATAGAGATGAGGTCTCGCTGCCCAGGCGGGTCTCGAAAAAATTTCACCATATATAGAACATATATATAACACAATTAACCATGTATTCCCTTTTTCTTAGAAATGTTTTCAATATTCTTCAATTATAAATGATACTACAGAAAATATGTTGGAGAATATACGTTTATCTTCATTTCAGAATATGCCTTTTGGGTGCATTTATATAACTGAAATTGCAGGGTTAAAGGAATAAACACTTTTTTAATGCTCTTAATACATACCATTGTATACTTTTCCAAAAATACTGTTCAGCATGATGTCACACTATATAGTTTACCAAACCCTTACCACTATTGACTTTTTTTTTTTGAGTGGGAGTCTCACTCTGTTGCCCAGGCTGGAGTGCAGTGGCATGCTCCCGGCCACTGCAGCCTCTATCTGCTGGACTCTGGCGATCCTTCTGCCTCAGCCTTCCAAGTAGCCAGAACTACAGGAGCGCGCTACCACGCTCGGCTATTTTTTTAATTTATTGTAGAGTTGAGGTCTCTCCAAGTTGCCCAGGCAGGTCTTGAACCCGTGGGCTCAGGCAATCCACTTGCCTCAGCCTCCCAAAGTGCTGGGATTACAAGCTGAGCCACCAAGCCCAGCCGACTATTATTTTTTAAATAATTTCTAGCTTAGGCGACATAGCAAGATCCTGTCTCTACAAAAAATTTTTAAAATTAGCCAGCTACTTGGGAGGCTGAGGTGGAAAGAGTGCCTGAGCCAAGGAAGTTGAAGCTGTGATGAGCCATAATCCTTGCCACTGCATTCCAGTCTAGGCGACAAAGTGACACTCTGATTTAAAAAAAAATTAAAATTAAAAATTAGAAAAAAGTCATCTAAGACCCCAAAGATAAGCAAAGAATATAACATTTCACAAAAGAGTAACTATAGATGACTCATAAATACAGTAATTGAAAAGCTGTCCAACCTTCAAAAATATCAGAACATGCAAATCTGAGACTCTAATTTTTTAGTTCATCATATTAAAATTTATTTATTTATTTATTTATGATTTCATATGTAGACCATTATGTATTGAAGAAATGTAAAACAACAAAGCAATAACAGTATATCTGAGACTATTTATCCTTTTTCATATTTCTTGCAAACTTTTTCATTTGGGAGGCAGGATAAAGTCAAGTTCTGGGGTCAGAAAGATCTGTATCTGAATTTTGACTCCATTATTTCCTACTTGTGTGATACTGAGCAAATTACTGTAAAATGGAAGTAAGAATAGTTGGATTTTTTTTTTAATATAGAGAAGACTCTAAATAACACCAACAATTCCAATGCCCCATTTATTGATTTGGTTTGTCTTTCTCAAGTTCTTTTTTTGTGTGCTGGGATTACAGGCGTGAGCCACTGTGCCCAGCAAGTTTTTTGAACGCTCAAGAATTTCTAACCCTTTGCACTGGTCTAAATAGTAAGGGTCACAGAAATAGAGCTTACTATAGCCTGTGCTTGTTTATTGTGTGCTCCCAAGCAAGTGAGGGTTAGTGTCTATCAAACTTCAGTTTCTTTATCTGTAAAATGGGTTTAGTGGCTGTTAGGAACACTAAACAAATTAGGCCACATGCCTAAGAAACATCTGTCACCTAGTAGGCTTTTAGTATACTGTCATCCCTTTCACTTTTCCTCCCCACTGGACAACTTGAGAAGGCTTCCTCTTCCGTTCCATTGCTGGGTTTCCTGCCCTGACTATCCTGTCCTGTTCCCACAGAGACAGGAGAGGCAGATGCGAGACCGCGCGGTGACCCGGTCCAAGGCGGAAAAGGCAAGGCCGCCTACCGTGCCGGTGCCACAGGTCGACATCGTGCCCGGACGGCTCAACGAGGCCGAGTGGATGGCGCTCGCGGCCCTCGAGGAGGGCGAGGACGTGGTGGGGGACATCTTGGCCGAGCTGCTGGCTCGAGTCATGGACTCTGCCTTCAGCGTCTACCTGGCCCAGCAGGTGGGCCTGGATCCGGGTCCTCGTCCCCTTTGTCTCCCTTACCCCCCGCCAGGCTGACACCCTCTCTCTCCCCCGCAGTGCATTCCGTTCACCATCAGCCAGGCCCGGGAGGCCATGCTGCAGATCACAGAGTGGCGCTTCCTGGCGCGGGACGAAGGAGAAGCTGCGGTGGCCGAGGACCCCACATGGGGCGAGGACGAGGAGCCCTCGGCGTGCACGACAGACTCCTGGGCTCAGGGCTCGGTGCCCGTGCTGCGTGCGCCTGCCTCGGCGCGACTGGGGGAGAATTTCCGAGTTGAAGTAAGCCCCGGCCTGGCTTCGGCCTCCCGGGAAGCCTCTCGGGACTCCTGCTCTGCGTCGACCCTTTCTGACCTCCCGCTATCCCGGTGCATTTCCCCAGGACCCTGGGAGCGTGACCCGGATCCCTTTGGGAAGATCATGGACGGGTAGAGGCTCCCTGGAACAGATGGAACCTCGGAAGCCGCCTTCGGAGCTGAACGCCACCCCAGCGGCCGCTTCCTTGTCCGAGCCGTTTCCAGAAGCCGGGCCCAGCGGTCCTGCAGAGGAGTCGGAAGGCCGGTCGGGGAGCCGCTTCCCCTTGGCCAGGTCCTTGAACGTGGGCTTCCAGCCGTCGGTGGAAGCGGTGTCCGCCGACAGTCTCCCTGCTTCTCCGGAGCAGTCCCTGGGAGCCAGCCCCCCGGCCTCGGCCGAGAGGTCCCGGCCCCTCGGCTCCCAGATGACGCTGGAAGACCTCTACGATTGCATGCCTCAACTGGAGGCTGCTGGGAACCGGATGGAGCTCCAGACACAGGGGGTGTCCCGCTTGGCATCGAGCACGTTGGTGTCCTGCCCGCCTGGGGGTGGCCGGGCTCAGTTCGGCCGCTCAGCTTCCTTCCCGTCTCCGCAGCCCGGGCACTTGGAGGTGCGGCTGGGCAAGCTTCGTCACAGGGGGGGCCGCAAGGCGTCCGTGGGGCGTCTGGACCCCGCGCGGCTCCCACGCCACTGGGTGTACCCCACGGTCGAGATCCTGGTCCCAGGCTCCGAGACCCGCCCCTTGGAAGCCTCCTGCGGGCGCCAGCGGGGAGAGAAGACCGAGGCCCCGGCTGAATCCCAAGCCCCCGACCCCGGCGTCTCGCCAGCAGCGTTTTCCCCCCGCTCATCTGGCGTTCCTTTGGGTGCGGTGGGCCCTGGCCAATTCCCCACTTTAAACTTAGACCTGCCGTCCCCACCCTTCGCATCAAAGCTGCCATTCCCCGGCCCTGGGATCCACTTCGCCACCAGGCACACAGCGCTCCCTAACCTGGCCTGCAGCTCCAGCCCCAAGCTGTGGCCCAGTGCCAAGTGGCCCAGCGGCTGGGAGGGGGAGGCCGAGCTGCTGGGTGAGCTGTGGGCAGGCCGGACCCGTGTGCCCCCACGAGGCCTGGGACTCACAGATGGGGAGCGTCAGGATCCTTACAGATATCCTCAAACCATGCCAAAGGTCCTTGAAGCCACATCCCAGGTGATGTGGAAACCCATGTTGCTGCCCGAAGCCCTGAAGCTGGCCCCTGGTGTGAGCATGTGGAACCCCAGCACCCAGGTGCTGCTCAGCTCTGCTGTGCCTCAACAAGAGGACAAAGAGGGGGGCAGCTTTCCTCCCGCTGAGCAGCATCCCATCCAGACAGGTGCCCTGAAGCCCCAGGTGACCGTGGCACAGCTAATGAAGAACTCAGCCCCCAAAGTGTGGTCACTCCCCTCCAAGCCTCTGCTCCACTCTGAGCCCTGAGCCCCTGGCAATGGGAACTAGCCCGTCCCTCTGTTTGCCTGCCAGAAATAAACATCTGAGTTGCTTTAGGAATTGCTCTGATGTCTTTGTCAGTTTCTTCCAAGGATGTCCAGTCTCTCACTGAACCTCAAGAGGAACAGTTTGTCTTGCAACTTAAATTTTGTGCCCTAGGCTCGAAGATAGAACCAGGGTTCCAGGGAATGGCCCCATCACCACCCTTAGGAGACCCTTCTTTAGGGTGGAGGCTGCTCCCTAGCAGAGGCATTCTGAAGAAACCCCCTCCTCCCAAAAGAGTAGACATAAGGCCTGCAAGTGGGGTCTGGCTTGATAGAGAATTTGCAGTTTCCTTTCAGTAGGAGAGGAAGGGAATGGCCAAGCTTAAGCACAGAATGATTTTTGATTTGAGGAATTTTCTTTCTTCCCTGGTCCCTGGAGCTTGATCATGTCATCTTAGACTCCAAATGAAAATTTTACTTTCTGAGACAGATTTGGGGCTAGGCAGGACTCAAGGAAGCACTGATCCATTAACCTCTGGATTGTGCCAAGGACTAGGGTGAGGCAATCAGGTCCCTAAGGCACAAAATTTAGGGAAAAAACTCTCAAATTCAAACCGTGATGAACAAACCTAATAGTGGATGCCTCCTGCATAGTTAACATTGCTTAGAAGTAGTTAGGCAGGTTTTCTTAGGCAGGTCTGAATTAAAATAGAGTAAGCATTCAGACATCTTTCTTATTCTTACATGACCCTCACTTGACACTTGACTGACCAGGTATATCAGACTTGATCACCTTGTGTGTTGAAATGTGGAACTACCAGTGCAGAAAATCACAGAAACAACAGGGAATTACCCAAACACAGACATGATGTTCCAAAAAAAAAAAAAAAAAAAGGCCCAAATCTAGTTAGGCAATAGCTTTCATTATTTAGAAGATCCTTGAGAACATAAAAGGTTGAGAGATGGTGGTAATCAAAATCTGCAACCTTCTATTCTTAGCCCATGGTTTGCTTAATCATCATTGTAAAAGTATATAAGGCTTCTTGTCAAAGGCAAGCACAAGCCCGTTCTTTTTTATTTTTTCTTTTTTATTTTAAAGATGTGGGGTACAATTCAGGGTTAGGTATACAAATGTTCATTATGCAGTACTCTTGTTGATGAGGTGTGCTCCTGCTCCCCCCCCCACCTGCCCTGGCCAGTTTCCCACTACTATCA